TGGCTGAGAGGGTCTTTTCTTCTACAAATGTACTGTAACCATGTAACACAGCTCTGTAGCTGGTTTATCTGGTTTCTTCTTGTCACACAAGCTGGTATGGTGTTTCGATCCACATTTAAAACAGGCACGACTACGACATTGGTTTCCCCGGTGTCCTGCTCGCCCACAATTAAAACACAAGTTCTTTTCGACGAAAAACTTCTTTCTTTGTTCCATTGTCGAAAGTGTCTTACACTCATCACTCCAATGGTCTTCTTGGCAAAACATGCAATGTGGGTTTTGTTTTCTTTCATTCTTGCGAGTGAACCAATTTCTATCCCTACGTCTATCATTTGGGGGTTTTGAACTCACATCTACCTTATTTCTCCTCAACCAAGCTTGTAGATTTTTAATAAGATCTTCCATATTCCAATCTTCGAATTCGCACTTTTCATCCACTCTCACGATGTCAGGTTTGACATGGGGCAACTTATTTAGGGTGGTCATAACAAAACCTTGCAACATATCTCCCTGTCCCAAAGTCTGCAAGGCGTCATAGTTATTACTAAGTTTTTCATAAAACTCCTGAACCTTTTCATAGCTTGACCCTTTCACCGCATCTAGATTGATTATTTCGTCCAAATGTGCATTAATTACCAATTTGGTTTGGCCATATTCTTGCTTAAGTCGATCCCATGCCATTTTATATCCCAAAGTACTTGGTTTTAGATTTGATATGCGATCTCTTACCTTTGGCACAACTGATTCAAGGAGATATCCAAACTTTTCTTCATCTGAGATGGGCCTTTTATCGACTTGTGTGAGAAACATATTCTCAAAACGAACCCAATCTGCGGCAGTTCCTTTAAATGCAGTGATTTTCAGCTGAGGAAGTTTCGCTAGACTGCTTTTCGCAGATTTCTCCATTTCGATTTTTCTTTCCGTCATTTGCAGCTCAGCGGCGAACTTTTCCTCCCACATCAACTTTTCTCGCGCTCGTAATTCGATCAAACGTTGTTCATCCTTCTCGCGTTGCACATATTGTTTACGTCGCTCTGCTTCGTCGTCAATTTCCCTCTGCCTTTTTTCAAGAATTTGCGAAAGCTTGTTCATTTTAGGCACCCATTGCGCGTACTTATCCTTCGTGTCCTTTTTCCATTGTCGTATTGCTCTCTGAGTTTCAGCTCCTCGATCAATTTTAAGCTCTTGTACACTTGCAACAAGATTATTTACTTTGTCAAATATGGCGTCTGTTCGTTTCTTTACAACTTCGATCTCTGCGTAATCGCCTTCTTCAATAATATCGTCAATTGGCTCGAGATAGTACTTTAGTTTTTCGATTTCCTTGTCTATTTCAACCTCCTTCTGTTTTTCTGCTGCCTCCTCGCTCATTGTTATATGTTCCACGTCGTACAAATCGATAAATTCTCATATTTACATGACCAAATAATGTGTTGTTGTCGTTAAATAACTCGTTAAATATTTAAATTACCGTTCGATTTTTTGTTCAATCCTTGTCACGGCACCACTTATATACCGAACTTCTCTTGTTAAATTGTTAACAGGTATACAACCACAGAAATCACAAAGACAATTTACATTTATTTGTATAAAAATATAGAATTCTCACGCTCACAAATCACTTGTTTTGTTTTGTCTCGTCTCACATAATCTAATAATAAACGACCCCCCATCAACATGCTCTTAATGTTTCTTTTATGCAAACGTCAAGCATGCTTACGTCACTTATATGGGGGGGGGGTCCACTATTCCGTACAAATATTCCCCGATAATCACCGAGCCTGAGGCGAATAATTGTGTTAGTATTTTTGTATCTGCGCGTAGCGCAGATATATTGCTATCGCGTCAGTCAGTAAAGTAAAGTAAAGTAAAGTAAAGTAAAGTAAAGTAAAGTAAAGTTAAGTAAGTTAAGTTAAGTTGTTAAGTCCGTCAACCTTGTTTTGAAGGCCTGTTCGCAGGCTAGAACAGCTTTAAAACAAGATGGCGTCTTTCGAAAAGCTTTCAAGAGTAGTAATCATTAGTAATCGTGGTATTAAACTATTAATAGACTTTATCCTGACTTTATTTTGATAAAATCTTCTTCTATAGCAGTCTTTTTGATATAACTCTTACAGTCAAACCGGATGTTCTGTTCCCATGAGTATTGCAACATTGCAATCAATCTTGCAATGTTGATTGCAAATTGCTCCGAGCAAATTACACGCAAGTATTCAACTGTCATTTTTTCAAGCTCCTATCACTCCCGTGTTGGGGAAAGGGAATAACAAATCAAAAGGACTAATATTGTGCCTACCACTTGACAAATTAAAGGTAAACTGGAATGTATAGAGGATATTTATACATGGTTGTGCGGAAATATGTAATTTATTTCGAGTGTTGAAGAGAACTATTGCTAACGAGTGAGCGTAGCAAATTGCAAGTTGTTCCATTATGTGATTTAATAATCTAAATTTTTGAGTAAGGTCATGGACATATTGTAATTATTATGAGTATTTACTATTTTATCTTCGTATCAAACCAAATATATAGCATTGCGAGCTTTAATTGGTATTAAACTCTGCCAGTTTGAGAACATATGTTTACATATTTAACTACCGCAAAATAAATCCCTCTTTGGCACTGAATTTTGCATGTTATTTAGTATTTTTGTATCACGTTAAGATCAAAATGGACATATTTCTTGAATAATACTTTTAATCTGTGAAATGATATATATAAAAATATTAGTCCTCATACTTCGTTTTGGATTTGTTACTCAGTTTTGTGATAGATAGGGGTACCAAAGCCTTGATATTTCCAGAGGTATTAAAATACAAAATTAGCCTGTGACAGTATGCTCCTGATTTTACTTCATACTCGATTTGGAGCAACACAAGTTCTACAACAAGAACGTACACGATGTACTGTGCAATTATAAAACGTCATATTTATAGATATTTGATTGACATGTTTACGCCATGCATTTCATACCGCACGGGTTTTCCCTGAGTTTTTATAAACAGGACCTGCATTTCCGGCAATTGTTTTATGGTTGAATCTTCACGAAACAATTACAAATTTTAAATAGACACGCAAATTATATTTGCGTATATATCTTGACTGTTATTTAATGGAGGCCTCTGAAACTAGGCTAAACTATGAAAACAAAGCATAGGATAAACGTAGCCCTGTTGTTTTAAATGTCAGAAACTATTATTAGCTCATGACTCCATGTACAGACGTCTAATCCCACGTCTTTAATAAATCCACACATTTTACAGCCTTAATTAATTATTTTCTTTAAATTGTTCTTAAAAGTAATGAACTGTATGAATAGCAGATATTTAGCTCCAGATAAAAAGAAACATTTTTGTATGATTGTTATCAGTTGCCGTGATTCGGGATATAAATGGTTCTCGTCCTCTTAATTTAGAAGTCACTAGTTAAATGTAAATATTATATCTGAAGCAGGCATATAATTTCAACTAGCACAATTTCGCACAATTGCTGTAAAAATGTCATTTCGAGAATGCACCATCAATGAATGCGAAACATTTCTACTTACTGCGAAAGCGGACAAAGTGGGACAATTCAATACAATCGCTCATGTGCAACCACCGTATTTCGCAGACACAAGCTCTCGCGACGAATTTCGCCGTCGTGGAATCAGACCTTAAGATTCAGACACACCGGACGCGCTTCGACAACGCGACGCGATTTTTCAGTATAATTAGTTTGAAAAACAGCCAATGAGAGCAAATCAGTTACAAACATATGTAGACCAAGTAACTTAGAATGTTATAGCGCTTCTAAATATTTGGAAAATATAAACTTGGATTAAATTTAACGGTCAGTGAAAATCGAAAAATCGCGTCGCGTTGTCGAATCGCGTCCAGCGTGTCTGGACCTTTAATGCGCAGATACATGTACGCGGTCGCGTACCTATTTTTACACAAGTCTTTTGTCTTATTCGGTACTGAATTTATTTTGATTTCGCTTATTTCTTTATCAGTATTAAGCTTCCACAAAACGGCTAGCCGCCATTTTGAAAATTTTAGTTTTGTTATATTCACCTGTAGGTGAATATAACAGCTTAATACGTCAAATTTGACCAATCAATTTGTAGGATTTGTTATGTTCACTTGTGGAAAAATACTAATAACGCATATTTCCTCTTGATGTCAATGCAGCGGCAAAAATAGTACAGCTATAATCTTCAATTCCCGGCAGACGGTCTTTCGCTTCCTTCGCCTCGCCCGCTTTTAGATGTTCCGCGGTGGGCTGACCGTCTGCCACGCAGACGGCGGAGGGCGGCTTATTTGAGAAATTTGGTTGATTTAGTGGTGGAAAGTTTTTAATACTTTTTATCAAGTATTAAATACTTTTACATAATGCCACTGTCTAAAAATTACGATTGCCATAGAGTTTTTTAATACGATAATTAAACACAAAAAAGCAATTGACCGCTCCTCAAGTTGTTTTAAACATTTTCATTCTCTATGTTTCGACTATTACTTTACAGTCATCTTCGGGAGAATGAGAAGTTTTGTAGCGAGTTTTATAGATATAGCTAGTTGGCTTCTAAGAAACGTGGCATTCTGAAGATGACTGTAAATATTAATTGTCAGGTGAGTGACAATGATGATGTGTAAGCGGTGTTTATTTTACTGAGTATTAATTAAATAACGGATTCCAATTTGAAACACTCTAATTAGAGAGCTTAAGATAGCAACAAGGACGTCAGTTCGTCGAGGGGAACTGGACTAAAAACTGTGGTCAGTTTGTGGTAATCTTTAACACATAGGACAAAACCTATAAGATTTTCAAAGTTGTTTGCTTTCTTAGACGAGCGTTATGATGCAAAATGCCGCCAAAATTAATCCTACCAATTTTCGGGTGACGTCCATGTTGACAAAACGTCGCTTTCTTAAGCTCACTATTGACAATCGCCCACTGGAATATTGGTCGCAATGCTAATATTGTGAGCGTTTTTAAATATTATTATTGTGAGTGTGTTTTAGGCGACGAAATTGGTATTACATCGCATCATTTTTCTTGAACGTTCACAAAATACAGTATTTCGTAAGTATAAAGCATTTATTGTATCGTTTCTTGTGTTTTAATTCGTTTCTTATAGTGCATTTTGCTCCTTGAATTAATAAACACACGTTAATTAGCGCCACTTTTACATTTCAACTTACTACTTTTGTGATGCAACTATATACTCTGAATATAATGTGCTTTGAATATTGGCTAGTATTGTACTGTAGCAATGTTTCTAACTGTTTGAAAAATGGCTTTTATTTGTACCGTAGAATACGTACTTTCGTTTTTAGTATATAATTTCCGGTGGGGGGCCCGCTTACTAAACCGCTACTTTAAACAGTATTCTTCTTCGTCCTTTCACTTGCACATTTCAACTTACTACTTTTGTGCTGACACTGTACTCTGAATATAAAGTGCTTTGAATATTGGCTAGTATTGTACTGTAGCAATGTTTCTAACTGTTTGAAAAATGGCGTTTATTTGTACCGTAGAGTGCGTACTTTCGTTTTTAGTATAATTTCCGGTGGGGGGCCTGCTTACTAAACCACTACTTTGTTAAACAGTATTCTTCTTCGTCCTTTCCTGTATTTTTCTTTATCCCCATTTGTCTGAATAACTGTGTTGTTGATATTTGCATGGCCGTTGCAAATCTTACAACATTCCTTTCAACATCAATTGAAAGGAATTTTGTAAGATTTGCAACAGCCATGCAAATATCAACAAACATGCATGTCCAAGAAATTTTCACCATTTGATCTCATCTGCTCTTGTGATATGACCTGTCGAAACCTCTGCATAAACTATTAATGAAGCTTTATAACATACTGTAATTTACAGTCTTTTAAGATTGTTTAATTAAAATTTTATTCTCTAGTTCACAATGAGCAACATCACATTTACAAATGGAACTTCCACTGGGTGAGTGTCTATACTTGCCTTATTTATCCTTTCCCTTACGAAAAAATCCAATTGGAATTCCAGTAGGCAGGGCCGGCGCTAAAGGTGGGGGGAGGGGTATAACACCCCCAGTCGGGTAGTCGGCCAAATATTGAATCCCAGTTGGCGAAACATGGATTTGGATAGGAAGAATTCCAGTTTGAATTCCATAGGAATTTAAATTTTCCTGTTGGAATCGATCGAATTTTGGACAGAAAAATTAATTCCAATTGTAAATTAGTGTTTATTGTAAATTGTATTTAATATTGTAAATAATATTGTTTTTATGCATGAGTACTAATACAGTGAAATGTTTAACGAAATGCATGAAGAGCTAAATTTTAATTCTGCTTATTTTAAGTGTTGAGTGTGATGTGGACAAAACCTTTTTACCTCACCTCCTTTTGATACCTGCTGTAAGTTTTAATGTGTTATTTTGTTTCTTTGATACTATTTATACTTTAATCTGGACGAGTAAAATCATCTGATGTGAATGGACACGCATGCAGAATAAAATAATGAAGTAGGGTGCAATATGCGACTTACTATGTACCCTATATTTAATTATTTTACTCCAATTGACACGAAATGACTTAGTATTCTATTCACAACCCTCACAATCATGCTCAGTCTAATTAAGGATTGGGGATAATGGTGATCCAGCGCCTAAGCCATGCAGGCTTGAAAAGCATGGTTTAGGGGTAGCAGGGCCGGTTTTACGAGCCACGAAAATCATGGGTTGGTGGGTTGGTGGGTGGGTTGGTGGGTGGGCTGGGTTGGGTGGTCCGTTCACCCTGCTCACTTATCCGCTGGAAAGAAACTGAGCTAGATTTGAGGATTTCTCCAATATTTATACTTCCCGTGTCGTAACACACACGTGTGCTTGCTCAACCAAGCGTATATGGTAAAATATATTTTAATTTTTACTACGCATATCATTATAAGGGTTGTGAATAGTAAATTTATACTCAATCTGTCTAAATTGCCAGACAATTAATAACTCCTCAAAGGGAGAGTTCTGGCAGTGACAGTGGCTTTTCTCCATCTAAAGAAAAACAGTTTTACTACAATCTTTGTATATCATTGATAACTAAAATGGACAATCTGGTTCAGGGAATAATTATCACCATATTGGCATTTTTACAACAAAGAAGAAGTTTTAAGAAAGAAGTTTGGGGAGGTCGACCTGGACTTGTTGTGTGAGTATAAATATAAACGATTTCTATAAACAGTACGTACTACGTGTTGTTTTATTCCCTGGCATGGAATAAAATATGTCTTAAAGTCTTGTACTTTGCACAAATCTGGACAAATAAAATCATCTGGCACAAGACTGTGTGAGTAAATGTGTAGTGTGGATGAGGGATTGTGGCGACTGTAGGTTAAAAAGAGATGGGTAGAGATAGGTGTGTAGCCACAGTGGGACTGGTCTCTCCACCCCTCTCCCCCAGCACTCCTTTGGGACCAGCTTTGAGAGATGCTTAAATTTGTTGAGAAATGTTGGGAGGGAGAGGGAGGAGGGGCAATTTGCATTTGCAGGACCCACCCAACAATTTTTTTGGTCATGTTATACGATTACCGCCCCCCGCTATGCTACATGTCTCGTTAACAAGAGTCCATGCGGTGCAGATAGCATGATATTATAATCATATTAATGCATGTAAAGCTATTTTCCCTTCAACGACAATTAGTAAAATCATAGGGTTGATTGAAGAATTACTCATTCATTGCATTTCTGTTTAAACACTAAACGAACATAAATGAGGGAGCTGCAGGTTTATTAAGGACATAATTACATCTTGTGTAGGCCTATAGATTTCCTTGGCATGGATCATGACCGCCTGGCCATCATGTGCGTGTTTGGAGCTGCTACTGGCTCCATCGTGCTTCTGATCTCTCGAGACATTTCAGGATATAGCAATGCTTGGGGAAAAGGTAGGAATGAGTTTTCATTCATGCCCAACAATTAGCAGGTAATTGCTACCACATTTGGGCCGAAAATGGTAGCAATTTCCGCACGCAGTAAAAAAGTATACAAAATTTGCGAACTTTGCAAGGTTCTATTTTCCGCATTTTACAACATTTCGCGACCAAACTTTGCACTTTTACTCATTTTAGTATGCTCTTCCTAGCTGTGATGATTTATTTGCATCTCCTTGCCTAGTTTTAAAATTAGTCTATAATGGGAATTGTCTAATTAACGGATCCGTTGCCGTTGGAAAAACGTTATCCATGCAAGCAATCTTACTGAAATATGTGTTCCTTCCAAGCAAGAAAATTCCGGATTTAGCGGAAAAACCGTACAAGATCGTACAACGGTACAAGCTTCAGTATGCACATGTTGGCGTCACAAATTGGCGTGCTCTCTATGGGATGGGAAATTACGTAGTCACTCGCTGGGCCTGGGACTGGATGTCAAAGTTCAAAATTAACCAAGCTAACTAGGATGCCAAATCAAAAACAGGAAAAACAACTTGGTTTTTGAAGTTCTTGAAAGTCAAGTCAACAGACGGAAGGTTGACTATACCTAAGACTCAAAACAACTGCTTGGAAACCCAGTCAGCGAGAATGAAATGTGTTAGAACTTAAAAATGTTAGCATTAATACAATAATAGACGTTTCTGTTTTGGAAATATTGAATTAAAGTAAACCAAAATTTAAATAAATAAAATCACAAAATTTAATAGACCTTCCCCCTTATGAGTGAAATTTTGATCTAGACCAGTCTGGACAAAAATGACAAACGGGAAATTGACAGCCCCAAAGGGTATTGGTCTGTCAATTTCTCGCGTGTAATACAAAATGACTGAAAAACGGCAAACTTCGCAAGGCTATATTATCCGCATTTTACAACATTTCGCAACGAAACTTCGGAATATTACTAACTTTGTGATGCTTGTTCAAGCTGTGATGAAATTTTTGTCCAGGCTTGTCTA